TCGACGGTCGAGATGAAAAAAAAAGGACGTCGCACAATACGGCGTTTGACACAAGCCCTTCTTTTCCCCTTCTCTTCTTGCCAGTTCTGACAGTACCAACTTAACCTATAGCTCTTACATTTTACCCTAACATGGCCTAGTCTGATTTCACCATTGAAAGTCGCTTTACAAAATAATTAATACTCAACAATGTACAAGTTTTTAAGAAGAAATGGATTTATTCTTCCTTCAGTCAGTACATTAAAATTGATGTTGACAAGTTATAAAACCAAACCAGGTTACAACAAAAAATTATTTCAACGACTACAACAAAAAGCGCGTACAATGGAAGAGAAAGAAAAGAAATGTATACTTCTATTCGACGAAATGGATATAAAACAAGATCTACAATTTTCAAAAACATCTGGCGAAGTACTAGGTTTTGAAAACATGGGTGAATTTGGTTCAAGAGCTGTACCTGCTAAACATGTTTTAATATTGATGGCAAGAGGAATCTACTGTGACTGGAAACTACCAATTTCATATTATTTTACAGAAAATGGTGTAAAAGCTGAAGTGTTAGAGAAAATTCTAAAAAACTATTTGTTGCATCTATAAGAAAGTGGTCTGGAACCGCTTGGAGTTGTGTGTGATCAGTCTACAACGAACCAGAAGTGTTTCAGACTAATGGGTGTTACAGCGGAAATGCCATACTTTGAGCTTAATGATGAAGAATTTTATTGTATTTATGATGTTCCTCATTTGCTGAAAAGTATTCGTAACAATTTAATGTCTGGAAATTATCTGTTGCACGAAAAAATAATTTCATGGTCTTTTATAGAGGAAGTTTATATTTTAGACAAATCTAGCACAACTGGAAGAGCGTTAGTGAAATTAACAGATCGTCATATTAAACCTAACAACTTCCAGAAGATGAGTGTTCGTTTGGCTGCACAAGTGTGTAGTCAAAGAGTCGCAGCAGGCATAAAAACTGCAGTCAACAGCAGACAGCTATCAGTGGAAGCAACACATACTGCTGATTTTATAGATGCTATCGATAAATTGTTTGATGCGCTTAACAGTAAGTTTCCATGGAGTAAGAAGCCATGGAATAGACCTTTAGCAGATAATAACACAGACGTTACGAGTGCGCTCGATAAAGGTTTAGATATTATGTCTAATTTAAAAAAGTGTACTGTTAAAGGGAAAATCAGTACTCCTCCTTGTTTTAATAATAATAATAATAATAATATATATTGAATCCAACAGACCGATGGTCCACAAAGGATTAAACAACACTTTACAGTTAACATATGTTCAGATACATATAATTACAAACTAATAATAACAATAATACACAAGGTGCGTACAGTTGATACCTATATATTACACAGGGACATTATTAATTAATCTTTTACAGTTCTTACGGAACATTTTAAAGTTACCTCTAAATATATCAATAAGCCCCGATAATTCATTACACTTTCTTACAGATGTTAAATATTGGGGAATAAAAATGATAATTTGTACGGGAATGCGGAATTGAAAATACTAAAGAATGACGACTGTTCAACCGAGGTACAATGAAATTCAAATATGATAGTAAATGACTGCAATTTATCATGTGATGGATTAACTTAAACATAAATATATTGCAAGAAAATTTTCTTCTGCCCTCTAATGATTCCATACTGAAACGGTTGTATAAGACCCTTCTATCAAAATGTTTCGGAGGATAGGCTCTACTTTCTACAAAATACAAGTACTTGCAGTATTTAATTTGGATACGCTCAAGAGACTGTACATGGACAAAATAAAATGGTGACCATCCCACACTGGCATATTCAAGTCTACACCTTACCAATACATAGTACAACGATAACAAGCAGTTGACATCTTTAAAATCGGATACATTTCGCTTTATAAAACCCGAAGTTTTTATAGCTTGAGTGCAGATATGATTAATATGTGGAACAAACGATAAAGTGTGGTCTATCATAACACCAAGATCTTTAATTTCAGAAACTCTAACAAGTGGCTTATCATTTACAACATAATTGTAATTTAGAATATTATGTGTTTTTCGAGATAAACTTATCACTTTACATTTAGAGTCATTTACAATTAATTTATTTTCTATACAACACCTATAGAATCTATTGACATCATTTTGCAGAGTTCTACAATCCTCTAGTGATATTATAGGTTTAACAATCTTGACATCATCAGCATATGCATAAATTTGACAGTGAAATAAATTAAGAGTTCTATTTAGAAAAGCTAGGAATAAAATAGGACCCAGGTTAGATCCTTGAGTGACACCGCTGGGAGTTAAGAACTTATACGAACAGCAACTAGCATATTCCACATATTGAGATCTATTAAATAAAATGGATTGAAATAAATTAATTAGTTCATTACACAAACCAAACTGAGACAATCTGTGCAAAAGAATTTTATGATCAACTATGTCAAAAGCTTTAGAAAGGTCTGTGTATACTACGTCTACTTGATGGAAGCTATCAAATTCATTAAGTACATATTGTGTAAATTCAAGAAGATTCGTTACAGTAGATTTTTTTCGCACAAAACCATGTTGATTTTCATTGATAGTTGTTTTCTTGGTATGATCCAAAGTATAAGAGCCATCAAAATGTTACATAATGTATGTAAGAGTGAAGAATTGCCATACATTCTAACTGGCAGATTAAATCAAGACCCACTTGAGAACCTCTTTTCCATATACCGACAACGTGGTGGATATAATAAAAATCCTACAGTTACAACATTTAATGGGTTTTTTAAATCTCATACGGTGATTAATTTGATGAAACCACCAGAACAATCAAACTGTGAGATCGATGAAGATTTTAATCTCTTCGAAGGTGACGAAGAGGATGTTTTCTCTTCTTCACCTTCGAAGAGATTAAAAAGTGGCAATAGTGATGAAGAATCCACATCATTATCAGAAGAATCATCAATTCACTCCAGTCCCAGTCAGTCAGAAGCTACACTAGAAGATTGTTCAGTGGTATATTTCGGAGGATATTTAGTGAAAAAGTTGTTGGACAAATTTACCTGTGCATTTTGCAAAAAAAATTTCTTAGGTACTCGTGATTTGAAAGAATCATCGCAATTGCTAATATTGTATAAAAATTATGATACTGAAAAACAGTTAACCTTGAAGGTGCCTCAGAAATCTATAACGAAATTGGTAAAATATTCAATGAGAATAATTGACAGAAACTGGCAAAAATATACTAATAAAAATTTGCTACTTTTTTTCCAAAAACATATTTTTAATAAATATGTTGCTAATAAACTGCCGCACATCACTCAACGGACTGAATGTGGTAATCACGTAAAATTTTTTCTCAGACTTTTAATTTCAGTTACTATGCATAAAAAATGTAAATATCTGAGCACCTCTTTACGGCAACCTGCTCAAAAAACCTTTAAACCAAGCACCAAACTTTCAATTTTGCAGAATTTGTGATCAAATACATATTTTATTTTTTATAACAATAATTAGGTACCTAATATTTCATAATAGACTGGCATGGCAGTACGGTAGTGAGGCAGATGTGAACCCAGACATTATCAACAAGCATTCCACTCACTACGGCTCGGTTTGTTCGTCCTATAAGCCATGAGTCCTCAACGTCTGCAGTAAGTTCTGTGGTCTGTAGTGCTGGTATGTGTGTGTACTTATGTAATGACAAGTGTACTTACGAGTATGTACAAGTTTTTAGAAGGAATAAAGCTTTTTTTGTTAGAACTGTATTTTTCAAATTAGATTAAGAAACTAATTGTACATTTACAAAAAGTTCACTTTGCTACCAATAAAAATGATCCTTTAACGTTCAAACATTTTTTTTATTAGTGTAGAGGTGTAATCGCTCAAACAAATTGAGTCAACTTTTTTCCTTAATTTTTATTGTTGGAGAAGTTATTAAATTCTGAGCTTCTTTTGCAAAGATGTAGTAAAACACGTTTTTGTTAACACTTTTAAATTGTTTAGAAAATGCTTTCACTGGTGCATTCGCTGAGGACGTTTGCATAAAATGATGCTGAAATTATAATTTGTTTATAGGACCAAGTTTTTATAAAAAAATTACAGATCACCAAATGTGATGAGCCCAGCAAAAAGTTGATTTGAATTTGTTGTACTGTACTTCAGGGGTAAGGGAAGTTCTGTCGAAATAATCTTCGATCAAATTTTTTGGTACGTTTGTGCAAGGAAGTGTTGCAAAAATAGGTACCACTATAAGCATTGAATCAATATCTTAGCGCATACAAACGTATCAAAAAAAAAAACAATTACCTTTTTGCTAAAACTCACAATAAAATGCTAAACATGTCGTGGTGATTTAAAATTTTTTCTAAACATATGAAATGATCGAAATTTAATTTATTTATTAAAAAAATGCAGTTTTATAAACAAATTGTGATCGCAGTTAATTATTTCGGCATCATTATTATGTGTACGTCCTCAACAACCCAGTAAACCTTTTTATGTGTCTGAAATGTGTCAAAAACAATCATTCAGAAACATGAAACGTTTCTCACAGAGCCTGGACACATTTCTGGAACATCCCGGCAACCAAAAATGTCCTACCCTTATTATGTTTCATTTGAAACGTTTCATGTGAAACCTCTTTGAAACATTTCATGTGAAACGTTTTTAAAACAGCTTTGAAACATCTTGTATAAAACATCTTTTTAGGTATCAAGAATGTTTCACCAAGAAATTAATACCTGTATATTTTTAATAGCTATGCTATAATTTAATACTAGACATATATACATATGTGTATGTGGATTATATTATCATATATACTTACCTACTGAAATTTGGTTTGGAGTTCGAAATACGGGCTTCTTTTATCACGACCTCAACAAAATATTATTTTTTAATATCTTTTAGTAGAATTCATTAAATCCACAAACATACATAAATAACTAAATAAAAAATTCTTTTAATAAATAAAATAAACACTGAATAATACTACTCAATTTTTTGGAATATGTATTTATTACATATATGATATGGTAATTTTAAACAAAAGTAACTTACAAAGTGCACAGTTAAAATAAAACAAAATACAAAAAATATAAAAAAATACTGACAGGAAGTTAAAGTTATACATACAACTATTTCTCAAGTTTTCTCGTGAAGCGAAGATTTGCTTGTCTCAGCCATGTAGAAACAGTTAATTCAAATATTTTGTCGGTTAATAACGGAAAATTTTTTCGAACTGCATCTAAAATGTACTTTAAATCAATAAAAATAATAAACACATATACATATTATTAGTTTTTAGTACATCCATAATGATCAAGTTAGACACTTGAAAATTATTTTTTCTACCCAGCCAAGAGCATTTACGAGCCAATTTATCATCAAATATGCGGCGCAAACCCCTTTTTATATTTTCTTTAGTGGAGTTGCCTCCACATAAGCGGAAAATGTTGTCCTAATTATTTGATTTAAATTTTAAATATATACGTATGAACACATTAGATATTGCATATTTACCAGTTCTTTTCTGGCGTCCTCGCCAGATTTTAATCTTTCTTCGTATTCACATAACAGCCGGTACTTTGTAAAAGGTTGTATACATGTATTACTAATACTGTCAGTATTATGTAATGGGGTATGTGTAGGATCATTACTGATTTTTTGTAATAATCTTTTCACCATAATTTCTACCCGAGTGGTTTTTCTTATAATTTCATTTAGTTTGTCTACAATTTGATCTACAAATATAATAGCTATGTGTAATTTTCAGTTTCAATTTTATTTAAACTTACCATCAACATTACATGGTTCAGTAATGATTAAGGAGTCTTGTGGAGAAGTATTAACTTCTGAACCTAACGATACTACAAAATTAAAAACTTAAAGTACGACGTTTTGATATTGTAATCTACGTACAGGTCGCAGGTGAATCATTATTATTACGTTCCAAGCTTCTTACTGATACTAAAACAGAACAACAAATATATAAATGAACGATTAGATGTACAAGGCCGGCGAATAAATTTCGGACTTCAAATTTACTGTCACGTCAAAATTTGCATGTAGTTAAATTAGACTCATGACAATGAAATGACATTAGTGTCCGAAATTTATTGATTGGCACCGTACTCTATTAGTCATCTATCGTACAAGTATCACCAGAAGTAGTGGCAATGTCACCATAGGATTTGGCAGATACTAAAATCATGAAACATAAAAAATTACACAACACACTTCGTTTTTAACATACAAATATCATTTAGGGATCGTGAAGGCACTGTCGTAGCTGGCGAAGGTGGTGCTGAAACACAAACGGTTTTTTCCACACAATATAAAAATTAAAGCGACATACTTAAACTTTATGTACTATTTTACCTTTAATAATTTTTGGCGGAGGTGGAATTTGATCATCTTCCTCTTCTTCTAGTACATCAGTTATAAAATCCTTAAGACAAATTGCCTTTCGTTTGCGTTTCTTGGAACGAACTTCTTCTCCCTCTGACTCAGTTACCTTTTCATTTTTTTTCTCAAAGGAAATGGCTTCCTTATATGATACTATAATTAAAATGTTAAAAACAGTACGTAACAACGCGAAAAAATATGCATACCGCTATTTTTAAGCATTACCCTTGCCGGCCAAACGTCCCATTGCTTTTCTGGGGGAGTTGCATTTTTGATATGTTTTCGTATATTCCTCTTCGGCCAAAACGAAAATACTTCGTCGTTTTTGCTGAAGACCCAATTGTTGGGAATGCAGGATATTTCCCGATAATCGTCGTCCTTGGTGAATTCAACAACAGTCCACTGGAACGACAAATTAACGAGAGAGAACAAGCACTATTTTAGTGCTATAATGATTATTTCCATTTCTGATGAAACACCAATTGCTGTACGAATGATGTTTAAATATTATTAGTTGTAAGTAAATATCCCACAATCGTAGTTTTACTTCTGGGCTGATCTAAGTAGCAAATCAAATAAAAAGAAACGAAGACTAAAACGATAATTATAATGATAAGACTACTGTAAGTAGGAATTGTTAGCGTAAAAACTATTTCTTTCATCAGCATTATGAAATTTTAGCTGGTATTAAAAATGTAATTAATTTTATTTATGCCTTAAATAAACTTCGGCCAATATACTTTTTACAAATACTTAATAAATAACAGCAAAAGCATATATGGTTAACCGTAAAATCACAAAGACTTTACAACCTTAGTGATGCTGCTTAAAATTTTCTAAAATATTACAACAGTATGTTATAAATAGCTGCCCTAGTTTTTCGTGACACCAGTACAAATTTTAGTTCATAATTTTTTACTGCATACACACCAGTTTCGTCTTATACAAAATAAATTTATAATTAAAAGATAATTAGATTAACAAGTACGAACCTGATGAACGTGATTTATTGTTTCTCGTTATGCAATAGTGGTATAAAAACCAACGTTTCTTCATTGATGATATACTTCAGGCATTTTTGTTTAATATCGTCACACTGTATCTTACACAAATCTTGAGATAAATGGTTTTGTGTTGTTACTATATTAAAAAATTCTTGAGAATTGCAAGGTTCAGTGTACAATGATGATAGCGGATATAATTTTTTGCCATAAAGAAAAATGTTATTGTTGAAATTTTTAGCAATATACTTGACACAAAATATACTGTTATCACTTAAAAGGACAAAGTTATCTTTGTCATTTATTATAATTTGAAAATTTTTCAATTTTAATTTCTTAAAGCATGTAATATTTTCATTCAGTTGATTTTCTACTTCATATTCTAGTTGGGGATAACTGACACCAGTCTTCTCATTTAATTGTAGTCTTTCGGTCAGCCTGCAAACAATTTGTTGTAATGGTCGACGTGAAGTTTTGACCATTTTTTTAATATTGTATAAATAATTCTCATATTTGAAAGCGCTAAATTCATCCAAATTACCATGAAGCAAGCAGTCATTTGGCAAATGTATTAAATTGTGTACATTATAAGAAACAAATTCCTTCCCATATAATGCACCAAAATTTTTTACAAAATAACGTAATAAATCACAAGCTGAGTTGTTATATTTAAGATACAATTCAGGTGAACACAGAAAACGAATAGCCGTGTGTAACGACATGAAATGTAAAAATTTGTCTCGGGGTAAAACATCCTTTAATATTATTGGTCCTGTATACAGCAACAGTTGTCTAAATTCTGTTGCTTTAAAACGATCGACTTCGAGAAGACTTCTAGGAGTTCTTGCAAATTCTATAGGTATAACTTTTTTAAGCTTCAAGATGTTTTTAGATAAAATGGCCATTTTCGAGTCAGGAATTCTAACATCTTTTTTACCTTTCACCCAAAAAAGTACTAGCCGTTTCATCACACCTAAGCACACAAGATGCATGTAGTCCAAACATACGTTACTAACAAGCCCTACGTTTAAATTTTCAAGTGGACTATTATACAAATGAAAATCATCATCTTCTTTGTTTTTGAAGGAATCATCTGTGCGCAACGGAGAAACCAAACTCTGAAAAGTTACTCTGCCATTTATGTACTCGCCTTGATCAATACATTTCGTACAACCATGGTAGCCTGTGTGACCCTTGACACCTAAAATGAATGCCTTGGCAGGAGCATCGCAGATAATCTTAGAAATCCTAGGAAAAATTTTTGTTTTGCCAACCTCTAAACCATTTAGCTCTAAAAATTTGAATTCTTGGACAAATTCATTTAAGAACTGACTAACATCGCTTGGTTTTTTCATACCGTGATATATTCCACAAATAAATGGAGGCGATAATCTTGACTCTATTGATAATAATATGGGCCAAAATTGACTAGTAGAGCTTTTAGTCAGTGGCAACCCATCTATGTTTAAACTGAGTTTTAAAATATCGTTCTCTTTTACTGTCTGGACATCAGTTAAATTATTTAAAATTCCACGCGCAACCCCGAAGTGATAATAATGTCCTTCAAGTACATCAATAATATTACATGATCTGGGCGTTTGCAATAGAGTTCTAGCGTTTTTGGGTAAATTGTAACCACCTTGTCTTAAAATTTGCAGCAAATCATTAATAGCTTGTTGAGAGAGCAATGTTCGGTATTGAAGTATCCAATTACGAATATCATTCACGAAAGTATTATTCGGGCGTTCATGAGCTGGATTTTCATGAGTGTCAAGAAATGGCAATTCATTATTAAGAGTAAAGTCAGATGTGAAGCTATTTATTTCTTGTGTTGATTTCTGCGGCGGCGAAAATCGCCGACGTTCACAATACGTGTCATCAACGGATGAGGCAACAGCAATACTGTAACAATTTGCCGATGGAATATTTTTTGCGGGATCAAGATGATTACACAATTGCACGTTGAATTTATTTTGGTGTTTTACACTGCAAATTTGGCTACTTAATTTTAAATCAGTACTTGTACTCTTTGTGGATCCGTGGGTGTATGGCTTGCAAATATTGTTACGTACTAATCTACGGAGATGCCGTTTACTGAAACACAAGTTTATTTGTTCGATTAGAGAATAAGCTACTTACATGCCTTTCTTCAAGTAATTCTTTTTCCTCTTGCGACATGTTGTTCCGACATATATGTTGACGCTACAACTACGCAAATCACATATACATATGATGTACTAATAAAAATAGTACCTTTAATATACAGTAGGTTATTATACGTTAATGCGATAAACTAATACCGATTCAAGAACCTTTATGGTACTTATTTTTTCACAAAACACGAACGTTTCGCGGGAATCCGTCGTTCTAGCACGATGCGCAATAACAAAATACTCCTCTGTCAAAATTGCAGTGCGCAAGCGCTCTGAAGAATGTTTTAAATGCGTCTCAAGAGGAACGTTTGAGAAACGTTTCAGCAAAAATGTGCCTGAAACGTTTCTATTTAGGTTGCACGTTTGTTTATGAAATGTTACACTGGAACGTTTCAAATTATACGCGTTTGGGATGTTTCGTAATGTTTCATAAATGTTTCGTGTTTACTGGGAAGTGCATTAGTGAAATCATTTTTTTATATGTTTAATACAGGAAAACTGTTAAATACCAACTTCGTGAAAAAAAAATCATGTTTAATAATGTTTGCAAAAATTGAAACTAAGGATAAAAAACTTTAGGGGTCCGATAACTTTTAATGCGATAAGCTAATCACACAGTTAAGGAATGCCAATCAAATATGCTTGTTACGCCACTGCATTTGGTCAAGCGACGTCTGTTGGTCCTACGCCATCTATCGGTATTGGTCCACAACTAAAACCGTTGACTGTATGTTTATATATAGTCACTGCAGATGACAACCACGGAACATACTAGCAAGAACCAACAAACTGTAAACCTATAATACATATAATGTTAGCAGGGGCGCAACGTTGTACTATTGGCCGATAGAGGACGCCATTACTATAAAAGTTAAACTTTTTCATTTTGTTTCCAGAGAAATGGAGAGGGAGAATGAGTTTCAACTTGCGCAGACACAAAATCCTTAATAAAATTGAAATCAGCCAATATAAATCTCTAGCGTTAGGCAAAAGGGCATAAGTCAATAATTGCCAATTTTCACAATGAATTTTTAAAGTATGAATTTGTTGTCTAAAATCGATTTATCGATTGTAAGTCAGCTATTCTTTATAGTAACAGTAAAATACATCCCAGTAGTTAATATTTGCTTCACTTTTGCAAAAAACTTATTTTGTCCTTAGTTATAATTGACATAAGTCTTTTTGATCAATCTTTAGTTCAAAGGATAACGACTTACGCCCTTTAAAACTAAAGTCAATTTTTTGCGAGAAAACAATTTAGCGTGTTGACTAAATTCCAATGAACTGGACGTTTTTGCGATGTTGTTTACACATGTGTAACGGCATTACTGGCGTCATACAGGCAGAAAATAAGTAGGATTATTTTTACTAGTAGTAATAACAAAGAATAGCAACAAATAGAAGAATGTATGCACAAGAGTCGTGTTCTTCCCAAGATTTTGCAAAAAGCAAGGAAGTAGATAGTTATGTTACAGTTTTCTATATGCCGCCTTGTTGAAAGAAATCTTATTGGGTGATTCAATCGTTTTAGTGAACTAATTACTGAACCGTAAAATTTTTAGTAAACAGATGCCAGTAGAATTGCCATAAAATAATAGTATAAAAAATGTTTTTCAAGTTTTTATTATTTCACTCTAAACAAAAGTAATATAATTAATCGATTATGTACTTATTTATAATCGAGTTTATAATTAAAAAAATCATTCATTATCTGCATCAAATGTTTCTAGATCTGGATCGTTGTCAGCTGCAGCCTTTGTTTTTAAATTTTCATAAAAGCGCCGGTAGATTACCGGAACTAGCGGCAAAAGCTCCAGCAAATGTTGTTTCTTTTCTTCTGCTATTGGTACCGTATCTGAGTATCTTTGCTTTAAATTTATAGCACCAGGGCGACCACGCCGATTGAAATTTATTTCATAAAACTGATCATTCTTCTTAAGGGTTTTTTTATAGTAAATTATTCCCTGCTGTTTTGTGTATTTGAGCCACTTACAGTCGTGCCATAGAAATCTTCGGCCACTTGAATCTTTTTGTTTTTTAACAAGTCACTAAAATTATAGAAGTCTTCTTGAGACATCTCTACTACATTAAAAGGTTTCTTTTTGTTGGTGCACCTTATTAAGGTAGCCCAGTCGTGAGGATGTGCGATTTTCATTCCAGTTTCTTTCTTCTGCTTTTCTATTAGTGAATGATCTGCATCACATTCCATGTGGCTGTGGCCTGATGTAAGAAATTTGTGGTTAATCTCCTCAAGTGATTCTTTCATTTGAATTACAGCTAAAAACATGGCAGCTACAAAAGCGTTTTTATTCTGACCCCCACATGTGTCAGAATAAAAAGTAATCTTTTGAATATCTGTTGGTAAAGCCATAATCTCTTTGAATTGTTTATTCAAAGAGATTAGAAGCAATTTCGTTTGCACCTCGCATGGCTAGTGACTCATGCCACAAGTAACACGAAGCAGAACCTGAATCGCAGTTATGTATTGTCAGGTTATAGGTCCAATATTTTCTTTTATAGAATGACACAGAAGTTTCTAAAAAAGGTGTAGGAAGACACTGCTGAAGATCGAAAGAATAGCAAACTGATGTAGAGTTTTCTCTGGATAATTTTTTGTCTTCTCTTTTAGAAGCATATGCTAAATCAGCTTCTTCGTGATGTTCTCTCTGTTTGATCCGTATTTAATTTTTTTCCTCTTCATCATTGGTTACTTCTAGTTCCATTTTCATTGTCTCACATTTATGACAAATGTCGGTTTTTGGGAGTTTGAAAGCAAGGTTTAATTTTCGAAACTCATTTTCGTAAGTTGTTCTTCCAACTGGTTCTAGGTTTGTTTCACAGTATAATTTATACATTTTTGTTAGATTCAAGTCTGAAGGTAGATAATTTTTATAATTAACACGACGTGTATAATGGCTTTCATACTTAGGAAAAGAATTTATGTGACAAACAACCGCTTCAATTCTTTCACAAGATATTTTGTTTTTAGGATCATGTTTTCCACGTTTATCATCACTAACAGTACCACTTTTGCTTTGCGATTTATTTAGAATTGTATTTCGAATAAACTTTTCAGTTTCGTCAAGAGTCGCTTGAAAACATTTTTTACATACTGTTCGGCGCTGTCCGTTTATTTCAAATGCGTATTTATAGGTAACAGTTCTTTCTTTAAAATCTTGTTGTTTTCTTATTCTTCTTGTTTTTACTTCTTCTGAAGTTACCAATTTATTTATGTAATTCATCCTTCGTTCACGATTGCCCAATTGCCAGTATTCGTTAAAAATTGTTTCTCTCAAATCATCACTCAAAAAATCTTTGCACTTCATTCTACAAAGAGTGGACTTGGAAGCTCGTTTTCTCGTAACTTTTCCCTTAGCAGTCAAATATTCTTGACCAGTATGGCGCTTTAATTTTCTTTCATTTCTTAGCTTTCTTGAATAAGGCTTTTCTCTATTTATAACTTGGTTAATTCCGTGTCCATTGTCCGCATTTTCTACTTCCGAAGCAATGCCTATTGCGTCATTTTCAATAGTTCGTTCGCTTTCATTTACTGTAATATCTGAAGCAAGTTTTTTTTGTGGTACTTCTGATGTGTAAATTGACACTTTTCTTTTTTTAAAAACAGCCCTGTCAGTGTCACTCTCGCTGTCTTCTTCACCGACTTTACATTCATATTCAGGATCCCTATCGCTGTCGTAACCATCTCCTATAATCCAGTCAATTTTTGTGTGACTCTCATATTCTAGGGAAAAAACAACATTCTTGAGTTAAAAACAATTTTTATAAATAACATTAATAACTGTTTAAAAAGCCAAGTTACTTTTTCACATTATTATTAAGAAATGTTTTGTAAAATATGTTGCGATAGATTTGATTAGTAATAATAATAAGAACTTACTTTCATTCAAAATCCTTTTTGTGTGCTCCGACATTATGATGTTTAACTAACTATGACGTCAGCCTACTATGTTTAATCAGACGATTGACCGCGGATTGGCGTATTGGTCAAAAGGAATTAGGTCGCGCTCAAAGAATAATCATTAGGATTTAAGAGGACTTAAGACCTTTGTGCCATATTTATTCTTTGGTAATAAAAACTTAAGTTGAATTAAGCCTTTTTTCACATCTTTATAGAACTTAAGTCTTTAAAACCCCCCCAAAAAAAGGTATAATTTATAGAAATGACTTAAATCCGTTTTACCAGACGGTTTGTGGCTTGTAATTACATGTTATGGTATACTTAACTCCAAATGCTTATTTTTTGACTTAAGTCCTTTTGCCCTAACGCTAGAGAAATATATTGCCAACATAATCACAAATTATTTACAGAACTTGATATCCCTAGACAATTGCTTGATTATTTACCGGGAAGTTTAAAATCATTAATTAAAGTCACCTAATAATCAATCACAACTAAAATATATTTCACCTTATATAAATAAATAAACATAATTATACTTCAATATATTTATGGATGTGAAAACAGTACCAATTTTGTATACACATGTCTAACAGAAGTGCCTTGAGCAAGACATGAAAGTCTTTTGCTCAAATTAAACATTCTTATTCGCATGTAGGCATTAATTATTTGTTTAATAAGAATATTTAAATGGCCTTCATCGATGGCCGCCGTCTTGAGTATGTGGTCCTCTAAATTAGGAAAAAGAATGCTGGCAGCGCTGTAGAATTTCTGCGCACAAGCTATGCCAAAAGTTTTAACAACATTTAGTTTTGAGAATGCCCTTTCACATCTAACTTGCGTACAAGGCAAAGTCATTCTATATTTAAATACGTTCTATATATTATTAAACAAGCCAGATTGACTTGAGAGATCAAATATTACTGCAAACGCACAAGAAAGGCATTTTCCGCATTTTTCATATTGTTTGTCTGAAGTACATGTGTCTTCGTCATCGTCGTCGTCGTCGTCTTCTTGATCCGTTTTACTGTTGTCACCTCGATAACTACTCTACTGTGAAACTGTTATACGGAACAGCAAATTGTCGGAGTTCTTTAAGTAACTGTGTTCTCTGTATACAAGCTAGTTTAGAGAAA